CCACCTCCACCACCTCCTCCAATCCCAGGAAAGAAAATTCCATCACCACCACCTCCTCCGGTCCCAGGAAAGAAAATTCCAGCACCACCACCTCCTCCGGTCCCAGGAAAGAAAATTCCAGCACCACCACCTCCGCTGCCTAAGAGAGGTGGTGATTTGACTACATCATTGAAACCACCGGGCTCCCAAAGTAAACCAGAAGAGTCTTCAGCTGAAGGAAGTGAAAATGGTCAGGTGAAACTGAAGCCATTACACTGGGATAAGGTGAACAAAATGGATCATTCAATGGTATGGGACAAAATTGAAGGTGGTTCTTTCAGGTAATTTCATCTCAAATTTTGGAACTAAATGCATCGAGAAAATTTCATATTTCCTGTCTCTAAGACTCCTTTTATTGCCATTTTCAGGTTTGATGGTGAACTAATGGAAGCCTTGTTCGGGGTTGTGGCTACCAACAAGAAATCCCCTGATGACAACGATGATCCAGGGAAGAGAAATGGTCCTGTTGCCGGCCTTTCTGCACAGATTACAATTCTTGATCACCGGAGGTCTCAGAACGTGGCTATCGTCCTCAGATCTGTGGCTATCTCTCGCCGGGAACTCCTCGATGTCTTAACTGATGGTGAAGGTCTGGACACAGATACCCTTGAGAAGCTAACGAGCATTGCTCCTACGGAAGAAGAACAATCCAAAATCCTGGGATTCTCCGGAGATCCCTTAAGACTTCCGGATGCTGAATCCTTCCTTTACCATCTCCTGAAAGCTATTCCATCGGCCTTCAAACGTGTAAACGCTATGCTTTTTAGATCAAATTATGAGGCTGAGATACTCCAGGTGAAGGAATACTTGCAAACGCTTGAGGCAGGTTGCAAGGAGCTTCGAACTCAAGGACTTTTCATAAAACTTCTGGAAGCAATCCTCAAGGCTGGGAACCGGATGAATGCAGGAACTACCCGTGGGAATGCACAAGCTTTCAAGCTCACTTCTCTACGCAAGCTTTCTGATGTCAAGAGCACAGATGGAAAAACAACTCTGCTTCACTTTGTAGTGGAAGAAGTAGTCCGGTTTGAGGGGAAACGCTGCGTTCTCTGTAGGAACCGCAGCCTAGGTTGCAGCAGCAGGGACAGCAACAGCAGCCTGGGTTCTGAGCAGAATTCAGAATTGAAAGAGGAAAAAGAGAGGGAATATATGACGCTTGGGTTACCAATAGTCGGAGGGCTTAGTGTTGAGTTCTCCAATGTAAAGAAAGCAGCTGCAATAGATTTTGTCACATTTTCCAGCATTTGTTCATCTCTTACAGCTCGCACAGCAGAGATCCGCAAGGTTGTGTCTGAATGTTCTGCAGATGGAGAAGGGAGGTTCGTGAGAGAAATCAAAGGTTTCCTTGATGCAGCTGAGGAAGAACTAAAGGCTTTAAAAGAGGAGCAACAGAAAGTGATGCATCTTGTAAAAAGAACAACAGCGTATTACCATGCAGAAGCGTCCACAGATCAAGGAGCTCAACCACTTCATCTGTTTGTCATAGTTACAGATTTTCTAGGAATGGTGGATCGCGTCTGCATAGAAATAGCTCGAAATCTGCAAAAGAGAAAATCATCAGGTTCAAGTCAGGGATCACAATCCCCTAACTCAACTCCACGTACAATGAGGTTCCCAAACTTACCATTACATTTCTTGCGTAGGAGGTCTGGTACTAGTTCCAGTGACTCAGATAGTGATTAGGTCTTCCATAGTTCATGTTAGATAATGTACATAGATTTTTCATAGAACTGAAGACAAAAGAGAAGTACAGTTGAAATTTTTTTGCTTTTTTTCAATCATTTGTCCAATTAATATTCAGGTTCCTGTAGGTAATTTTTAAGTACATTTTTTATGTTTCAAACATGTGAAGCATAGGAACAATTTTCAGAAACTTTCGAACTTAGTAAGAAATGCATTCTTTCTGCAAAATCTGTATCTAATTCTCCATTGGATATTTGCAACAGCAATGCACAATTTGATTCGCAGATTCATTTAAATGGGAACTATCAACTGTATTGGAATCATAAATGTAACGATACAATTACAGCAGACGACGCATCTTTACTGACATTTGAAAGTATATACGATCGAACAGATTCCTACACAATTTTCCTTCTCCCTCTTATACGTGGTAAGGAGAGGCGGCGGCTTTTAATGTTCATAGAGGAAATGTATCGGAGCTCCATTCTATTCTACATTTCCTACAACATATTTAATGTACATTACCCAACTAAAAGATAGATACTCAAGTATTTTGCAGCAATTCAAGCATACGGCATGAAACTCAACAATGACTGGTTGCTGATGTCCTAGAAATAATATGATATCAAGGTCCTCGTTGAAAGGCAACGCTTTCATATGTACGTTTCAAGTCCCCTGATCTAATATGGCCTCTGAAGTGGGTGTACTGTTTGCATGCCACTTGAAACATTTTGTCTGTGGCATACGTCTTTCATCTCTTTTCCTGAATATTGGTAGGAGAACCACACAATTCAGTGGGGCTTCAGGTCACTGATGCTTGTGATTCTTGGTATCCTGCAAGATTATGTGAATACATGATACGTTAATAATGGAAGCATAAGACATGGAATGGGGCAAAATATCCATACAAGTACAGGTAAAGTTGGTTGACCATTTTCAACAATTAACACAAAAATGCCAGTGGCAACAAGGAAGGAAACAAATTATATAATTTTACATCTCCAACTCAGTAGGGATATATGTTTTAAGTTGATCACCAACAATGATATTATGGTTAGAAGTTCACCTTCCAATCAAGTGCAGTGAATATTAAGGAACTGACAATAGGGCACACCTTATCTATATGGCTCTTTGATAGACTTTGTCCAAGATAAAAACCTGGCAGTGGTGTGGCTTTGAAATTAAGACTCTGTCTCAATTTTTTGATCTCTGCTTCTCTGTCCTCCTGTGTCAATCATATAGTATTCAGCCATGCTATTTGCCTTGATAAAATAAATAAGATCCTACCATTTACGCTGTAAACAATTTCTTGCTGAAATTTACCATTTAATAAAATCTACACCAGAAAAATCTTGAGTTAGGTTTCTTAATTTAGTTTGACTTATTATGAGTGCATGCTGCCACATAGTTCATGACAGGAACTGTAAGACCTGTTCTAATTAATGAAAATATATGGTACCTTGGATTTGGTCTGAAGGCGTGTTCTCTCTGCCTCTCTAGCATTGGATTTTTCTTCCAACTTCTTTAAGAACTGAAAAAATTGGTATAACATGCTTATCAGGTTTCAAAGACAATAACACATCGATTTTTTAAAAACATTCTGTAAATGATTCAGACAAGAAAAAGAGGGCCTTTCAGCCCCCAAGGTGATGTCTCAACTGATAAGAACTTAAGACTCCAAGTTGAAGGTCTCGTATTTAAATCTTGAGACTAGTTGGGAGGGATTCGAGAAAAAAAAGGGTTGTTTCCTATTATATAATATAGCACATCATCTAATGTAACAGAAAAAAGTAAAAAAGGAAAAAAAAAAAAAAAAAAGAGAAGAAAAGGGCCTTTCAATCCAGACCTCTTTCCTTTTCTCTGCCCTTTCATCACTTTTCAAGCCAAAGGTGGATGGGGCAGCCTTGGCATTCTTTTTCTCCATTTCACTTGCTCTAACAGACCTGTCAAAAACCAAACATAGCTGAAGTCAGAAATTTACAAGATGATGTTTTTTTAAAAAATTATATTTCCTCCTGAATCTTAATGAGAGGGATAAATGATCATAAAGAAGCTGGTCTAAAAAAATATGAATTCCTTTCCATTTTGATCCTCTTTTTTGTCTTCACCCCTACCTCTGAGCTGAGCTGCTACAGAAAGCAGACTTAACATCTGATCTCTCTCACTCCTTTAAAATTCCTTTGAAATTCCTTTTGAATCTAATCTAACTCTTTCTTATTTCCAGTTTTATCGTTTATGTGTAGAATGACATGAAGAGTTGCTGAGTCAGTTTAATAATTAAAGAACGGCAGCAAAGGTAAAAGCTTAAAACTTAAAATTTGTGGTTGAGAGACTAGTTTACCTAGATAACCTAAAACTACAAACCCTGCATTGGATCTACAAGTTATCTCCTACTTTATGTAACTTTCTTTTATAGTATTCACAATTTACTCGTCTTCTTGTTACTTTTAACAGGGAAATAGAGTACACATTTATAAAGATAGCAAGAGGATAGAAAAGTTATTCATGAATAGAAAACTATTTATTCTCTGTATCAAAGCATCATATGATTAAAAGGGAGACAACACATACGTTATGCAGATGCAAGCAAGTGTTACAAATATCAATAGTCAAAATATGAACCAAGGACATTACCCTCTATTCTCTTTTCGTAGAATCATCGAGGGGGAAACTTTAGGTTCTGTCCCCTTTGCAGGTACCTGACCAAGAAAAGTGAACACGAAAGTTAAATGAATGAGAAATTGACTGTTCAACAGGCTGGAGAAAACCATTATGTAAAAGTAATAGGAGGGAAATGTTCAATAGAGCAAATGACCATGTTAAAAGGAGGGAAATGTTCAATAGTGCAAATGACCATGTTAAAAGGAGGGAAATGTTCAATAGAGCAGATGATCATGTGGGAATTAACCTGTTTTTGTGTTGCAGATTTTTCTTGACTCGGGGATTTGAGTTGGCTGTAATTACTCAGAAATGTCTTAAATGCTCGTTTGACAATATCCTTATCCCCCATTCTTTCCATGATGAGAGATTTTCTACTTGTGGCAAGAGGAGCTGGGTTAGAACTTGATGGTTCCAAATGAAGAGACATGTGCAAGGATTTAGGAGCCACATTCTTGCTCCCTCCCACATGAGGATTCTTAGTCCTCGTAAATGATGAAACAGTTCCTCCTTTTGTTGAAGTTCGTGATGAAGGCACACTACTAGGAGTTGATGTTGGCTTTGATGTTCGAGGGGTGTGAAACAGTGGTGTTTTATTCCCAGGGGATGCAGGTTTCTTCTTCACCTCTCCCGTCTTTTTCTCCTTTTTCACTGAAGGAGTGATCTACAAGACCCAAAACCACAGAATAATATATCAAACACAATAATGCACCAAGCAAATTTTCAAGATAAACAATGAGATAAATACCCTAAAGACATGTTAAATTCACCAAACTCACCTTCTGAGATTTTGACTGATGATCCAACTCTACATTTTTCTCTTTGTTCTTTCGGGTGTCATCTTTCTCTTTCTCCAAATTCTGAGGCAACTCCTTTTTGTCTTGAGATGATATACAAGGTGCTTCCTCTTCTTTTACCCAAGCAGCTTCTTCTGGTTCATATGGCTCTGGACTTTCCGGTCCAAGATTCTTTTCCTCTATCACTGCCTCAGCAGATAAGCTTTGACATTCTATTGTTGTTCCAGCTTCCTCATTTCTCTCATAATCACGGATGTCATTCACCTCACTAGTCAAGTTGCTTTCTTGTCTAGCTTCTTCAACAGAGCACTGACCATTAGATTCACCAATCAGATCTCCACCATCCTGATCTGGATCGTCTGGTTTGAAGGGCTTGCTTTCCATCAGCGTCTCCTGACTCAGTAACTCTGCCTTTCTGGCGGCAATCTTCTTGTAATGCTCTTCAAAGTAAGCCCTTTTCTTGGCTACTGATCCAGGGGCTGCACACTTCTCTACTTCTTCCAAGTACTTATTTGGCGAGAAAGTTGAAAATTTCTCCCAAGAAAGTGAATCATTCTCAAATCTACCAAACGAGACTGACACTTCAAGAGCAGGATTTGAGGGAGCCGCCTTCCTCATCTGTTTAATTGAACACAAAAGCCAAAATTGATGCATGCCCTCAAGCAAGAAACAAAAATGACAACTCAAGGAAACAAAACAACAGCATTTACTTGTTCCAATTATGAATCAGAATTCACTCAACAATCAAGTATGAATCAGAATTCACTCAACAATCAAGTATGAATCAGATTTCACTCAACAATCAAATATGAATCAGAATTCAATCAATAATCAACAACAAACAACATAAATTCAAGAAAGCATAATGGGAACTGAGTAAAACAAATGGGCCAGTTTTTACAGATCAGAAGGACAAACATCTGGGGTACCTTATCTTCATTATAGGAAGCCTCTACTGATTCACCCATTAATTCTGAGAGTTGCTGTGGAGCTTCTCTATGCACAAGACTGGATCAAGCTGAAAGGACCAAGAATAAGGAATTCACAATAAAGACAAAAAGATGAGTAAAGAAATGGAACAAGGGCAGAAGAGAGGTATGCAAAGCATGTGCCGGTGTTTGTTAGTAATTAGGTTCTGTTCTCCTTTAAGTGTTCCATAATTAACTTTATCTTGTCTTCTTTTGGTAGTTTTGAAAAGGCTAGAATGATAAACCAATCATCCAAAACAAAAAGGGGCATAAACATCCAAAGCAAAGGAAAACCAAAGGGATCACTACCCATATGTTCACTATTATAGTTCCAAAGATGATTTGCTTTGTTTCAATATCATCACCGTGTCAATTGAACAGAAAAAGGTTCAAAAGTGAAAGATTTTGTCTAGAGAATGTGGCTTGAAAATTGATTAGGAAAAGGAAGAAGGGACATCACCACCAAGCAGTTAGAAAATAGTTAAAAAGCAATTAAAGGGTAGTTGGATCAGATCAAACTATGAATATTCAACAAACCAAAATGAGCACTTAGATTGAACAGGGACATCAAGAACAAAAAAAAAACATTTTTATCATTCTCATACCAATGAATCATCAGAGAGAGAGAGAGAGAAAGAGCAGTGAAGTGATCAGATCAGGCTAGAAAGCATATGGCAAGGAGGCCCACATGAGGAAGTAGTGTAGTAAGGAAGGTTACAGGAAGGGTGTCTGTGAACCAGCATGTGACAGCTTGCAGGATTAAACATCAAGCATGCTCAGTGACAGTTGTGCCTTTGTGGGGGCAAAGTCATGCCTATCAAATAAAAGTGTCAAGATCATTAAAATTGTAGAATATTATGTTTAAAAATATTAATTTTATATAATTTAATTAAGAAAAATGACTATTAATTATAATTATTAATAAAAATAATTAATATTTATGAATTAATAAATTAATACTTTTAGACATTACTTAAAAATAAAAACTAAAATTTTAATTGTCTTTTTTATGGAAGCAATAGCGATACTCGCCCCTGTGGCCCCTCTGATGCAGTTCTTTGAACAACAATGACATGCCATATCATTCATCATTGGCTGAAAGAAAGGGTAATGGTATGTTTTTAGTATTGAAAATGCCAACAATATCCTCTGTTTTCAACTATTTGGTGCAAAATTTTCTCCAGCATGTCCAAATGGGTTAAACTCAAAAATCCATTAAAAACAAACTACAAAGTGCACTCCTTTTTTTCTCATAACTTGCTTTGTTTCTTTCTCATCTAATCTCAATCCCTCTTAAGCTACTCAATCACCATTACCAAATAAAATACAAAATTTCCACAGCATATCACTTTCCAAAACCTGCTATATAAGTTCAGTTTCCTTACCCAAATTCACATCCCAAAACACCAACATTTCTCCACAACATATGATGAAACTCAGTTCCCCTTTTCTCCAATTACTCACTGGCCTTATCCTTTTAATGGGTCTCTCCAAACCAGACCCTGACCCACTCCAAGATTACTGCATTGCAGATACAAAGTTTCCTTCTTGCTTCATCAATGGAGCTCCCTGCATAAACCCTAATCTTGCATCTTCTTCCCATTTCACCACATCAGTTCTGGGCAGGCCCGGGAACACCAAGGCCTATCCTTTGGGGTTCAACGCTACATTAACCAACACAGTCAACTTTCCGGGGATCAACACCTTGGGCCTCGCCATGGCTCGAATAGACATCGAGCCTGATGGTCTGGTCCCACCCCACACCCACCCACGCACGGGCCTCAGAAATGACCGTCTGCCTAGGGGTGAGCATGGGTAGGTATGGGTAAGGTATTTGCCCTATATTTAACTTTGAATAGTGACATAAATCAGATTTTAATATTTGGTATTTATTTGAATATTAAAAATTTTAGATATAGATATATCTATAAGTATATTTGTACACTTATTAAATTTTATACTAAAAATATATAAGTTAATATATAATTATAAATTCATACATATATATAAAACAAAATACATGAATATATGCACTCATACATATACAAGTTTATATATATAATAACAAAAGAAATATAAACAAAAATCAACATGATTTTTCTTTAATTGAATCTTCACTACTAGAAGAAAAGAAAAAAATATAAACATTTTAATTTTATAATATTATATTACAAATTAACCATATAAAATTGGAATATAAGTTAGGTGTATGGATTAGATATACAGGTCAGGTATATGAGTCAGCTACGTAAATATTAACTCTCATACTCAATACTTAGTAAGTATATATTTTTTATACATGATATTTAACTTTCTCTTCATAGGTATAAATAAAATATCTATCCAAACAAATCAAATACTATATCCGTATCCGATGCTCAGTCCTAATATGCCTCCAAAGTGTTCTCCTGGTGGGCTTTGTGGACACCTCTAACCGCATGTTCACCCAACAGTTACGGCCCGGCGATTCCTTTTTGTTCCCCAAAGGGCTGATCCATTTCCTGTACAATATGGACTCAAGAGGCCTGGCTCTGGCTGTATCTGGGCTGAGCTGCCGAAACCCAGGTGCCCAAATTGCTTCAACAGCAATTTTCACATCAAAACCATACATCCCTAATGAAATTGTGAAGAAGGCATTCCTAATCAACGGCCATGATATTGCCATAATTCGCAAGAACCTTGGAGGGTGATTGATCATGTCTTTTTCCTTTTCCTTTTTTTTTTTTTTTTTCCTTCAAATGGGATAATATAATGATGAATCTAACTTATTTTTAATTAAGTATTATTTATTCTTGTAATAATAATAAGAGTATGATGATGCATGAAAAATAGACTTCCTAACGGTCATATAATTGCATTCAAATTATTGAGACGAAAACCAGTTGCTGTTGATTTATCATTATCGCTTGCGTGTGGAAACGGCTTTAGCAATACTAGATATAGGGTTAGTATTTATTCATTCTATTGTTTCAAGATTAAAAAATATATATTTTAAAATTATATTATTTTCATAAAATATTATAAAAATGATAAAAACACTCTAATTTATATTTAAAATTAGGCATTTTCATTTTTTTTAAAAAAAATTTATCGAAATAATGTAATTTTCGAATAATTTTTTTTAATTTTCAAAAAATAAGATAAATAGACACTATTATATATATATATATATAGTACAATCCAACTTGAATCTTTTTTCATGTATCATTTTATCAATATAATCTTTGTTTAATTTGAGGAGAATGACTTCTAAACAAATCTTAATGCGTGTATGGTTGCAGAAAGAAAACGTGTCTTAATTACGGTGATGGGCATTGCTTCCCATATATTTTTTGTTTCAAACCTGGAAAACCTCTTAGTCATGAACTCCAGTAAAATTCATTCATCAAGTCAAGATCTGATCTCCTGGATTATCTCGCCTTCAAACAATTTACTGTTCTCAATGAAAAAAATGGACTGTGGGGACATGTGATGATCACATGAAAATTGTGAAGTGATCAACAAGTATAATGTCACTATGTCAGCCTATATGGATTTCATGATTAAGGTTTACATTTCAACACTCCAACCTGAAATCTAATGCTTTTGAGCACGAGAAAATGTCTCCTTTTTATGAACTCCAACGCAAATCTTTGAGTTAAGGGTTTATTTATATTATATATAATTTATTTATTTTTTTTCATAAAATTTCATTTATTTATTTATTTATAATAAATAATTAAAATTTATCATAACTTATTAGGTAAATAGTTGTTTACACATAATTTTAGAATTAAGATTCTCTTATACATAACTTTTGTACATATTATTTACATATAATCTCAACAATTAATTTCCTCATTATAAATAGTTGTTTTTATCTTGAATTATTTTTAATAAAAGAGGATTATTTTATTTTTTAAAATAGGATAAAAAGTAGTTTATAAATCTCACATATTCTTAGTAAAAAAATAAATAGTTAATATGTTTTTATGTAAATAATATATATAAATTGTATTTAAGTGGAATGGCTGGTTCCGGTTTGATAGCATTAGACTCTGGAGTAGGATTGTTCACCTCCTGTGGGTAACGTATTTGAGCCTCACAAAACTCATTTCCTTCCTTTTCATATATACTTGTAAATAATGTCAAAATTATTCAAAAAAAATTTTGTATTTAAGTGAATTTTTACTCCAAATCTTATAAATTTTTGACCCATGTGACAATGTCCCGTATACATTGTTCCTAGTCCTGATTCCATCTACTTTATTAGTGAAATGTCCTTTTATGATTTTATTTTATTTTAAATTATATAATAAAAAATAATTATTCCTTCGTTTAATCTACTCTCTACATGCATAACATATTGTTGTGAATCCAAAACTCATATTTTTATTAGATTTAAAGTATCACTAAATTATTTAAATTTAACAATTCAATCATTATGTTTTGGTTTTTGGTAACCTAAACGAGGAGACCTTTCATTGATGGATGAAGGCTTGAAATAGGCTGACCCGAAACATAAATTTGGCACTACCAAATAACATGCATTGCAGCGACTGAGCACTGTAAGGACAGGATTAACACGGCGGTTACATTAAGAACGGCCGTACCCAATCATTAGTCTCTACCTAATTTTTCATCTTTCAGACCTATTCCGTCAAAACACGTCACGCTTATTTAATGCGGTTATTCCATTAAAACACATTAATCCATCAAAGATGTATACCCCATCAGACATATCTTATCACAATTATGATGATTAAAAAAGTCATGTGAATGCCCTATCAAAACATACAAATACGTCTACATATGGTTCCAAAGAAATATGATAAAAAAAGACAAAAAAGAGAAATTCTTTCAATATTTTCATTAAGAGCATAAATCAGATTATTGTTAAGTTAAGTATCAAAATATCTATCTCGAAAATCATCCTTGCAGCTTTGCAGGTCAATCTCGCGAACACAACGAAAGAGGTCTCGAAGGTTTGTTGCATCAACAAGCACCCAA